GGGGACTTTAGCCACAAACAACATTTGAGGAGATTTCATCATAAAATGATAAAACAATGTATTTTATCAAAATGATATATTTTTTTTTGTTAAAAAAAGTCCAAAACTCCATATTTTCACGGAGGCAATAATACGAAACGACATCACTGGCGTCCCGCGAGCTGTCGTACATAAAATGTTTCGGAAAATTATTTCTTTATTTATGGCCTGTCTCGGATCTGGGGCAAACCGGTTGTTCCAGTTTCGCGACCCTGGGGACCACTCGTCTTCGTATTGTAGGACGTCGCTCAATCTTTGGTTATCTCCCTTGCACAGTCGCTCAAATCTTCCGTTTTGGGGGGAAAGACAGAAGGCGGGTAGGGGGAAAGAGAGAAGGCGGGTACAGGGAAGGAAAAAGACTTTGAAGGATAAGAAAGCAGCGAAGAAGAAATGTACAATCAATGGGACTGAAGTGCAAAAATTTCAGAGGGTGGTTGGGGGGTGCTCTGGTGTGGTTTGCTCCTTCTACCCTATCAAATATCTATCGTCCTTATCTCTTCTCCTTCTTTTTTGTATACTTTACTCTCACTCTCTTGTAACACTTCTAATCTCGGCACTTATATGACCTTATTGTATTGCAAGTGCTGTAAAACTCTTACTAAAACTATAATCTTCTTGGGGGAAAGATGGAAGGCGGGTAGAGGGAAAGACAGGTTTTGATTGAAGGATAAGAAAACAGCGAAGAAGAAATGTACAATGGAATTGAAGTTCAAAGATTTCCACAAAAGAAATTCTTTACGCTACATGGACAACATTGAGAAATGCCCCCATTGCTTGCTGTTGAACCATTTGGAATCTGAGCATTGTTGATCTAAAGCGTGATGTATTATTCAGCATGCAGTGCAGGAAAGGTCATTTGTTTCAGTTTCTATAGGAGTGCAGTAAAGCCACAAGCGACGTGCGCAGTTTGGGTCTCTTTACGGAAATTGTGTCTTCCGTATAGGATGAAGGTAGAAGGTATCATAACGAAAATTGGGTATTTGGTATGAAAGTAGAAGAAGGTATAATCACGAAAATAAGGTATTTAGTATGAAGGTAGAAGAAGAAATCATCACGAAAATTGGGTATTTGGTATGAAAATAGAAGGTGTTATCGCGGACGTTGGGTATTTGGTAAAAAGGTGTCATCATCACGGAAATATGGTATATGAAGGTAGAAGGTATCATCACGGAAATTTGGTATAATATGAAGGTAGAAGGTATCATCACGGACATTTGGTATATGAAGGTAGAAGGTATCATCACGGAAATTTGGTATATGAAGGTAGAAGGTATCATCACGGAAATTTGGTATATGAAGGTAGAAGGTATCATCACGGAAATTTGGTATAT